GCGAGGATCTTTCACCGAGACATCAGCCGCGGGACCGATTCAATGGAATAGATGCCTTCGCTTCCGACGGGCCGTTGACGTTGATGGTTTGCATCAAGGTCTTGGTGATTATCAATCATGTGATGGCTCGGGTTTCTGAAAGATGTACAAAATGACAACTTTGGCATATGTCACGTCTATCCTATGAGCAAAACATCTTTTGGAACCCCAAATTCGGATTTCGAAGCAAAGAAGTATTCAGCATGGCCGCTTCTGTTATGAAAAGCTTACCGGCCATGACAAAGCACGCCCACTCTCAGGAGGCCGTTGTGGACAAGCTGTCTACGGTTCCGCGTCCCGACAGCATGTCTTCCGAACCACCTCTTTCAATATCGACTCTGCCACCAGAAGAGCTGTCTGCAGACATCACCAGTGAAACCTCATGGTCTGATGCCGCGGTAGAAATAAGCGAATGGCCAGCCTTCCAACCATCCATATCGCTCTCTACCTACCTCGCCGAACTGTTCGAAGAGAATATCACAGCCAAACTCTGCCGCACCGCGACCAAGTCTCTCCGAGAGCAAGCATCCTCAACTTTTGGCGAGATTCGGAAGATCCCGATCGCCTTCCCAGAGATCGTACCCCAGAATGGCCCCAATGCGGGCCAGTACGAGTTCCGAGATCCAGAGTTTTGGACCTGCGGGTTCTTCCCGGGAACGCTGTATGCCCTATTGGAGCGAAGCGTCAAGCACCCGCAAACGATGGGACTCGCCAATGCCGGGCCTGGGCCCAGTGTCGCCAGTCTCCGCCAGCATCTGCGGGGACTATGCAAGATCTGGGCCGATCCCTTGCACGACATGGCCGGCCGAACGGACACGCACGATATCGGATTTATCATTATGCCAGCGCTGCAGAGGGACTGGGAGCTGAACGGTAACGAGAAAAGCCTCGCTTCCATCGTCAGGGCTGCGCATTCTCTCGCAACGCGTTATGTCCCCGCCGCTGGAGCTATTCGCAGCTGGGACTGCCTCTTGAAGAAGGACATCACAGTGACCGACATGACGACGAATCTCCTCGCAATCATTGACAGCCTATGCAATCTGGACCTGCTCTTCTACGCTGCAGCACATACTGGCGACAGTACCCTCTCCGACATCGCCACAACGCACGCCCGTACACTGTTACACACGCACCTCCGACCAGAATCCGTGAGCACGCTGAAGAAAAACGGATACAGAGGTCAGCTCTATTCAACATGCCACGTTGCCAATATCGATCCGGCTACCGGAGATCTCAAGTGGTGCTGGACGGCACAGGGATACGCAAACGATTCCACGTGGGCCCGTGGCCAGGCGTGGGCGATCCTGGGGTATGCTCAGACCTACCAGTGGACTCGAGACAGAGCTTTCCTCGAGGCTGCCATGGGTGCTGCAGAGTACTTCCTTTACAGGCTCGATACGGCGCCGTCGTGTGTGGATACACCAGTGGCTGACGAGGAGACGAACTGTTGCTCTCGAGATGGGCAGCGAAAGAAGACCAAAGGCCGAAGAGTCCCTCTTTGGGACTTTGATGCCCCGATACAAAACGCCGCGGAGCCTCTGCGAGATTCATCGGCCGCGGTGATTGCTGCTAACGGCATGTTGGTGTTGTCACAATCACTCAAAGGCATTCAAGAACATGCCTTGTCGCGGCGCTTCTTCGACGCGGCGGTTGAGATCGTCCGAGACACCCTCGATTACTCACTCGCAGATGAAAAATCTCAGTTCACCAGAGCTAGCAGCGAGGCGGGATTGGAAGTGGAAGATGCCATCGCTGGCCGATGTTTCGATGGCATCATCAAGCACGGAACGGCCAATAACAACGAGAATGCCAGACGAAGATACTGGAATCATGGCCTCGTTTACGGTGATTACTATCTCGTTGATTTTGGAAACAGGCTTTTGAATATGGGTTTGACGTAGAGTGTTAGTGCTGTTTCCCGATTATAGACCTGGCTTACTTTAAACCAATAGAGACTCTTGCTTTTTACCATCCTCCACCATCGTATTCAGTTTCGAAAATGCCGTCATCATAGCTGATGATTCTATCCATGTCCATGAATTGCTGGTCAAGGAGCATCTGGGAAATATTGCTCAAATCGCCACTACCGACGCTGCTTCTGTGGTACAGGGAGGGCTGGGCCATCGGCTCAGCGCCATTGACGCCTAGCCCTGGGGTTAGGAGCATTGCGCTCTGCGTTGGATTGGTAAATGATGCGGGAATGTTGGATGGGAGTGGTTGAGCCACGACGATGGTGTCGAGACTACCTGCAGCGGGCTCGACCTGTGTATCTGCGAACCGCCTGTTTCGTCTATTGGTAGTGGTTCCCTCATGTCTCCCGGTCTCATTCCGTCTGATGTGGGCAGACAACGGAGGCTCCTGAGCAGCTGTGTGATCGATTTCTGTGGTGTAGCCTAGGACGTTGATGTTGAAAGTTGCATCATCGCGGCAACGTAAATGCATCTCCGTGAGCTTCCTCGAATACTTCCCAGCCAAGTTGTCTCTCGCAGGCTCTAAGCTGTGCGGGCCAGCCCATCGCGTCGCCATATCATTCACAATCTGAACCAGCGACCAGAACTCGGAAGCCAATTCAGTCCCGAGATCATACCGCCATTGAAGGAGGAGCACTCTGGCGGCCACATAGATACAGAACACAAACTGGCTCGAAACAGGCATCACCGCAGGCGCGTGCTTCAAGTAATTCTCCGCAATGATAGCAATCTCCACGGCGGCGGCCTGGCACGTGTCCGCGCTCAGAATACTCGGCAGCCGGGCCCTGAAAGGCCACTCCCTCGGAGGGAAGGCAATCAGCTGATGGAGCAGAATCATGGACGTATTGTGCGTGACGTGCGCCAGCGTGAGGTTGGGATCCATTCGCGTCGACTGCCGCGCCATATTGGCCTTCCATTTCTGGGGCAGGAGCATCTTCCAGTGGACCAGGCGCAGGTCGAGCTCCTTGAAGCGTGTGAGCCAGCTACTGATGTCGCGTTGGTCCCGCATGTTGATCTTTTGCTGAAGGAAGTAGCTCGTGACCCTGCTCAGGGACTCGGTCGCCTCGATGCAGTAGGCAAAGGCGCCGACGGTGGACATGTCGACATTGGCGGCCGGCGCCCCCGGTGACGTGCCGGCGTCGGAGGGCGTGTGGGTTTCTTCCTCTGAGGCACCTACTTGCAATGCCGGCGCGTAGTGGGACGGGATGAAGGCAATGGGGTTGCCTATTCTGCCGGCGGCTTTGTCCCATATCCCGAAGTAGGGTGTCACGACTTCGTCTTCTTTACGCCAGAGAACGCCGTCGCAGGGGAGACGGCAGTGCACGTCGTCTGAGGTTAGACTTGTGTTCCAGCCCATGGTGACTGAGATGAGTCTATCGAGCTTGAAGACGTTCCAAAAGACCCGGCGCCTCTCTTCGGCCTCGGTCCAGCTTTCTGGCGGAGCGAGTGAAACGAAAGGTTGAGATAGTGATGGCCGGTCGACGTCGTCGTGTTCGACGGTGAGTTGGAGATACTCGACGGTCCGGGTCAGTGAACCAACGAGAGACCAGGCTTTTGCAGCCTCACCACTTCCAATCTATCTATGTCAGCGCGTGCCATGCGAGAAGATTCGGATATCGAAACACCTACATCGTTGAATGCGACAATGATGAGAGCTTGGTGGCTTTCCACATCGAACGTTTTCATCGATGTTGACACGATCCAATCACGGGTGATGCCTCTTTGCTGGAGCGTGCCGAATAAGTTGGTCGCAACATCTTCGTCAGATATGTATCTTGACGCAGAAAGGACCATGGCATGTAATACTGCAAGCAAAAGTTTGGCTTCTCCGGGCTCTCGAAGTCGACGGCGGAATCTCGCCTCGTGTATAATCGGAATCCATGGATGAATGTGTGCAAAATAAGCCTTGAGTACAATCTCAAGGTCCTCTTCATCTGGCAAGACAGGCGAAGTAGGGCTGGAATTGCACGTGAAGGCAATATTTAAAGATTCATGATCATCAAGTCGACGCCGCTTGGCTCGTACTGGTGACTCGGTCTCCGCACGCTCTTCGCTGGGTGGACTTTCGCTTTTAGTGTTGAACTTTTGTAGCTCTTTGGCGAAGAATGCCATGATGCTATATGCATTCTTTTCGAGGGCGCCATTGGAGCCACTGGCATCATCTTGATTAGGTGAGTGATTTGAATCGGATTGTCTGCAGTCTTTTGATGAATTCTTAGTCCGTTGTTGGTGAACAGTCCTTTCTAACGCATCTTCGACGTTGTGATCAGTAACGATCGAAGAAGGGCAACTCGGCATATCGAGACGAACCAAGTCTCCGGTGCAGGTTCTCAATGGCCCCAGCCTTCATCCCCGGCTTGGACCGTTTCGATTCATAAACACAATCGCTTCCTATCGCAAGTCAACTCCTGGAAAGAGGAAGATTCATAATCTGCACGGTAGGAAAAAGGGACCCACCTGTCTTACGGCACTGCTGACATGTTGGCACCTCTCGGGAACATCGCAGCTTCCGGCGCCGGCAACAGTTGCAAGCGAGGGCCGCCGCAGCCTCCGAAGCGCCCCCCGAGTCATCGTGGCCCGCATCGGCGGCTTCGCCCTGGTGGCTCGGCTCAGTACCGTTATCCATGATTAGGCATTGGTCGGGTGTAGATCATGGCGCCAAGTGTAGGCTTTAGTTTCTGCGACTTACGCGTGAAGTAGGGCGGAGGCTGGCATAGTTATGGTTCCACGGCCAATAGCCCACGCCGCCGCTCGACATAACCCGAAGACCGAGGCGGCCCCGCACCGTCTTCCCCCGCATTGTACATCGGCGGCTGCATGAGCTGGAGCTGTCCGGGGTTGCGGGGGGAAGAAAGTTGGAAACGATCAAAAAGAGACATTCTTCCCCTAGAAATGCTGGTATTTCCTCGGTCGAGCGCAATGTAACGTACAGGACCAAGTGATACGCGTCACTTCTTGCCATGTAGGCGATGACAATTGCGAAACTCCTGCTCAGTCGTAGAACCTCCACTGAGCCTCCGTGTCCGGACTCAGGGGCTGGTTCAGGAGAAGCGCTCGAAGCAACTCGATTGGCATCGTATTCGCCCTCAGGATCTTATCGTGGAGTTCCTTTTCGCCCATTAACCCTTTTGTCAGCACCTCCTCCCGCAAACCGTGCATCTGCAACGCCCCCAGCATGTATCCGGCCTGATACAACGGGGAGTAGTCGCCGCCGAACGATCTCGTGACTTCTCCCTCTGCGTTAGAACGCTCGTGACCGACCCAGTCTACCAGCAGGTCGACGCACTCTTGGGGCGTCATCTCGCCGAGGTGGTACTTAAGGGAGAAGATGATTCTCGCGCATCGGTGCATCCGCCAGAAGAGTGTTCCGATCTTGTCCTCGGGGCTCACGAAAAAGTCTCCCCGGTTCCAAAAGACGAACTCCCAATACATGGCCCAACCCTCGACGAAGAAGGGCGTCGAAAAGAGCTCGCGGTAGGGATGGTGACGCTTGCCCATAAACAGCTGCAAACGATGGCCGGGTATTAATTCGTGGCTGTGGTCATGTCAGTAGTGAACGTCTCTAAAATAGAAACAAAGGAATATGCTAACAATGCCGTCGCCCGTGAGAAGTGAGGGTTGTTGCCGCGCATCACCATCATCTTGAGGTCATGGTCCATGGCGGCGGTGGGGTAAGAAACCCAGAAGGAGGAGCCTCCGAGGAAGAATGGGGACTCCTTTTGACGTTCTGCGTCAATCATAAACATACGCCACGTCTCGCCTGGAGGAAGTCAGCTTGTAATTCTCGCCGAGAGGCGCACACAGAGAGACTTGCCCGCAATTTCTGGGACCGTGACCAGGTCATGCTTCTTCACAAAAGCCATGCCCTCATAGGCCAGCTGCCGCACCACCTCAGGCTGTTGACCGGGCTCAACATATGAATTCTTGACATATTCCTGCGCCGCCTTCCAGTCGTCGCCGAAGCCAGCGCCAGGAGCCTCGAGACTAGAGAAGTGAGAGTCAGTTCCTAATCTGGGGCAAAGGGCCAGTCGGCTTTACATACCCCGATACGCTCCCATGACTGCCCCCCGGTCCAACGGAGCCCACCTTGATGCTGCGTGAAGCCTTCTTCATCTCCTTTTCACACCAATCGTACTGTTCCTGCGCCAGCTTGAGGAGCTCCTCGGGCGTGTAGGGTATCATTTCCGCTTCGAGCTCAGTGATCAGCCCGGAGCGCCCGATGGGTTCTACTGCAGCACGGATAGACCCGGACCCGTTTTTCTCAATAAGTTTGGTGTCTATCGCCGTCTTGATACCGGTGAGGGCCTCGTCCAGTTCCTTTTTAGGCGCGTCGCACCAGAAAGGGAACAGGGGGTCGTAAGGGGCGTAGAAGCTGTAGGCCTCATCCACATGGCCTCTAATTTGGTCAATGGTGCTCATAGCACGTGAGAGTGTCGAGTCATTGGCCTTGATACCATTCGTTTTGATGGCCTTTGTTGTTGCAATTATGTTCTTTGCTGTTTCGTTTAATATCATGGCCGTCTTTTTGCTGTCGACGGGAACCATGCTCTGACGAGCTTCGCATATCTCGATGAGCGGCTGGATAAATGGAAGAACCGGCTTTACCAGTTCGTCTCGTTCACGATCCAGAAGTAAGACGCGGAGATTGCGCCTCAAATAGTTGCGCAGAAGTAAGAAGTCTACCTTATCCTCTTGGCTGTAGGTATCGAACGGAGCTTTAAACAGACTGTCGAGCTCTTCATTGTAGTATCGTTCCAACCGATGAGATCTCGTGGCTGAGAACTTGATATTGTAAAACTTGTTGAGATTCTTTTCATCCGTGGTAACACGTATAATACGCTCCGGCATAAACTCCGAGATGGTTTTGGCTGCGTGTTGTTCGCGGCTGTCGCTCACATGAACCCAATCGCCGTCGGAAACGCCGCCTTGATGTGACCGGGTAGCGAGACGATGTGTGGCCATGGCGATGACGTGAAGCCCGTGATTCTGTGATTGAGTGAAGTGCTGATTTGATGTGGTAAGATTGGATACCAAGCTGTAGCATCCGGCAGTGATGATTACATTGAAAGAATGCGGGGAAAGCTTCGTTCTTGAAGCAGCATTCGAGACACGAGGCGTGGAGGTGTGAACTCCGGACGGGAGGCCGCGGGGGTCTTATCTCGGCCCCAGTTGCCGAGAGGGAACGTTGCAGCGGTATTCCTTCAGTGGGTCCGATAACATCCCGAGTGGGAAGGTGCGCTGAAGAGAAGCTTTTTGATGGCAGCGGGTTCCTTGCATCTTGTTTCCCCTCACCAACCATCATGCCAAGCTCATTCGCGATTTATGCACGACTCATCTATATTTACGCCAGGCTTATTCGTGAGAGATCATTTGAAAATTACATTATTGAGCTAAGCAATTGATCTTGCTTGGTGTAGGTGAATTCGTTATCAATCCCAAGCGAGTGCGTTAAAATGAAAACCACACTACTCTAGCACTGGCTCTCGACAGCGACAACCTCACTGACGCCAGCCTCAATGCCCTGACCAGCGCTCTCAACGCGCACAAACTGAGCCGAGCCGGAGAAGGTAGCCTTGGTCTCGAAGCCAGTCTTCTCAACAGAAGCCTTCTCCGTCAGCGCATCCTCCGAAGCGCCGGCGAAGACGGTCCACTTGTTGTTCTCCGTCGCGCCGTTCCAGCTCATGTACACCTCGGTCTGGTTACCAGCGTCGCAGGCGAAAGCCTTGGGCGCGTAGTAGGGCTTGCCAACCCAGGGGTAGCGGTGGTTGCGGTAGCTCTGGACTATCTTGTCCTCGCCAAACTGCGCGGTGAAGACGCACTCGCCCTCGGCGTTGAACTCCTTGATCTTGGGCGTGCTGCCGTAGCCGATGACGGTGTGACCGCTGCCGTCGTTGAGGACCTGGACGTTGCCCTGGGAGACGGCAAAGATTGTGTCGTTGGGGTCGATGAGCTCCTGCTTGAGGGTGGCCTCCCAGGTGGCGGTGTTGACGGTGAGGAAGATGCCCGAGGTCTCGTTGACGCCGCTGCGGATGCCGCTGTTGTCGTTGTTGAAGAGGGAAATGAGGGCGGTGCCGTTGCCCTCGGCGTGGATGCGAGCGTCGTGCTGGTAGCAGAAGGACAGGCCGTTCTTGAGGGCGAAGGAACCACCGGTTTGGCCCTTTAGCATTGTTAGCTGAAGCTCGTGTTCAGACAAAGGTTGAGCAGGTACTTACGTTCAGGGTCCACTCGACAGATCCATCCTTGGCGATCTTGAAGATGGAGCAGTAGTGGCGGGAGGAGATGAGGAAACCACCATCAGCGAATCTTTCGATCGAGTTGATGTGGAAAGGTCCCCAGGGGTAGGTCTGATTGAGTCCAAGATCCTCCAAGGGGTAGGTAGGGGCAGCAGAAGCCAGAGAGATCTCGTCCAAGTGGTCCAGGTGGCTCCACTGGAAGAGGATCTCGTTCGTCTTGATGTCGATCTCGAAGAAGAGCGAGTCCACGATCCAGCCATCGACAGGGCCGCCGACGGAGGTGAGGTCCGTCTGGGTGACGTTCACAGCAGGAGCAAACATGGTACCCTCAGTGGTGATGTAGTCCTCGTGCATGTCCAGCCAGCTGCCGCCGGTGAGACCGGACGAGTCCCAGCCGGTGAAGGTCTGGAGGTTCAGGCCGTTGGCGTACTGATCCAGAGTAACATTGTAAATGTTCTTGTAAGTCTGGTCGTAGATGAAGACAGCTCCGTATCCGAAGCCGTAGGGCTCCGGCATGGTGATTCCGGTGTAGAAGGTGAGGACAGGCTCTCCGAAGAGAGTCTGGGCGCGCCACGCGGAGATGTCGCCGTAAGGGCCCTCCCAGATCAGCTCGTTCTCATTGCTCATGATGAATACGGAGTAGTTGTGGCCGCCGGAGCCGGACTGGTCAAAGAAGAGGTGACCCTCGGCGATGTCGCCGGTCTGGGTGATCTTCAGAGAAGGGGGCTGCAGAGCAGGCTCGGAACGGTAGGTCTGCCACGGCCAGGGGCTGGTGGTGCTGTTCTGGGCCGCCGCGGCCTGGCTCAGGCCGAGCAAGGCGGTGGCCTTGAGAAGGGAGGTAGAGCGGACCATGATGACTGTAGGCTGAGGGGGTATGATTGACAGGAAGCGAGGCCTTGAGAAACAGAACAAGGCAGACTCAAAGGGAGGAGTGCCATCGAGGCTTTTGTACTCTGCAGTTCACACATCTTCAATGGCATTCCTGTGTTTCCCGACATCGGTCGATTGACTCTAGCTTCACGTCCGATTTTTTCTTCAACAAACACTCTAGATTGCCATCGCCCCTGTCATAACACCAAGGCTTTCGACCGTTTTTCTCGCGATCTTGCATGGTGTGTGGGTCTGTTCCGAGAAGTACGCCGGCTGTACCTGAGAGATCATCGTCATTCGTCTCCATCCTACGGCCATCAAGGATCTGATAAGATGAGATTGATAAAATTCATCACCACCAAATTCCCTCAAAGTGCCGGCTTGTGGGGGATCTTCGTATGTTTTTGGTTACATTGGGTCCCAGTCTATGAATCAACGAATCCACCGTGGGGGCTTATTTGCTAAAATTTCTACAGCCTGGAGGAGCCAACCCGCAGCGGAATTCGGTGGTCGGTGCCGTTTGCAGAAAGTGAGATCCGACTTCCGCTGAAGCCAAATGTACGCCTAAGAATGACTAGCAAGCTGTAACGACCTGTGTAAGGGTATCTGAGAGTATGCTTTAGTTCGCTCAACTTCATGGTTTTCGAATGGTTGATAAGGATCTGTAAAGTTCGAGAATAAAGAACGTCTGATAAACTGAAGTTGAATAGGTACCCCAGGATTCTGCGAGAGAGTGGGCAACAAATGCCGCTGCCAAGTGAGTGCCAAGTTGAGTCGGACTTTTCCCGACGCGCGGGACGGAAAGTAGTTAAGCATGGATAGTAGTGGATCCTAGTTCAAGTTACTACCTTACTAGTCCCGGGACCAAGCTCGTTCTTGGGCAGTCAATTCTCGGGGATCGAGGTGGACCGATGGTCTTCGATTTCGCTCCTTCACAGACTAGCCGTCTGCCGGATCCTCTTTCACGATGGTGTTGAGCTATCTATGCTATCTATGACGTCCGGTGCAGACGAGAATCGCAACTTAAGTATGTCTAGAAAGCCAAGATAATTTCAAGCAGATTCCACGGCCAAAAGTGGTCGACAGTATCGCATTAATTTGGCAATCCGTTTTAAATGAGCGAGACAATCTTCAGGTCTGCATGGTGGATCAGCTCAGAGTTTCTCCAACGCTTCGGAACAAAATGGGAGGATTGGCAAGCCTATCATGCGTGCGTCAAGTCCCAAGCCTCTGATAGCAATGTGAGCCAGCATGGCATCTGCATATAAGTGTTCCAGAACAAGCCATGCAAGGTCAAAAATAAGCTTATCCTCTGGGTTGGGACAACCACATGGCGTGCTTGGTCCACTGTATGGCGCAATGTAGGGCTCGATGCATTCTGGAGCAACGGCATATGTCCATGAGCTTTAGAGATGATTAACAACTTGAGTCATGCCTGAACCGCTGCACCTAGGTTGTAGAGACCATACAGTACAGCGAATAACTTTCATTGCTCGAGCAAAGACCAGAACACTTTGTGGACGCTCAAGCGAGGTCTTCATATCGATACATATAACATCATGCCACAATTCAGCTTCTGCTCGTCACCTTTCACTGCTAATTCTTGAACAGGGCCAAGTTTTGATGATGAGTCGACTCAGGCGCATATAGAATTCCGTTCCAATCTGCATCACTTGCCCACCAACAACTATGTCATGCCAAGCCAACTTATCACAAGTTAATAAACGCCTCACTATTCATAGACTACCTTTGATCAATACCGGCCAACTTCTAAGCAATCTTCTCCACATCGAGATCAAAATCACCATCGCCTCTCATGATGCAACTTTCACCTTCCTTGGCCCAATCAGAGTCCCGACACAGAAGGGCAGAAGCATGACTCTCGCACTCCTGTCGAGGATTACACTTACTCTCGGCACAACACGTCCACTTAGCCTCAACATGGGCGTTGCCAGACGGTGCCGTCGACTGAAAAGACGACTTCTTGCCCGACTTTGACACTATCTCGGGCTTTCCCGTGCCGGAGCAGGTCTTGCACTGGATGCGCGAGTTGGTCTCCAGCTCCATGATGTGCTTCGAAGCGACCTGCGAGAGGACGAGCTGGAATTTGTAGTTCTCGAGCAGGTCGGGGCAGTTTCTGGGGACGGAGGACATGACGGGGAGGTCCATGAAAAAGCGGTCGCTGACGTAGCCGAGGTCAAGAGCCTGGCCGCAAAGGACGAATGCTGTTTCGGGGTGGGGAATGAGACGCATCTGAGGCTTTCGGAGGCCGTTGTTGTAGACGTTTGAGCAGTTTTGCTCGCAACAAACGATCAGGATCTCGACTTTTTGACACATTTTGGCTGCTTGATGCAATTTGGGTGCATGAGATAACTCGACGTTGATGAGTAGTTGTCTTGATAGATTTGACGATCAGGACGCTGTCAATCTTCGCGAGATGATCAAACTCGAACTGTGACCTATCGAGTACCGTTGGAGATTGGAAAACGAAGGCGTGTTTATTACGAGAACCAGTCAGATATATAGGCAAGTGACTCAACAGCTGGTGTTGCCTATTGAGGGCTCATATGAAGGGGGTCGCGAGGCAGCGTAACCGCTTGCATTCAAAGAGTACTTGGTCGAGTCGCCTAGAACATGAATATTTCTAAGAAACAGCCATACTGGCTTCGGACTTGACGGGAACAATCAAGTATCAGGTCGACATCGGACAAATCCTTTGTTGGAATAAAAATCCGGTTCGACTTTCCAATCCGGGACGTGTTCGGAAACTTGGCTCTTGTACGAATTATGAAAGTCCAGGAATGAGAAAACCCAAATCGAAGAATCAGACAAAGAGACATGAAAACCTCCAACTTAGAGTCATCAAAGGCTTTATGCTTCATCTGCACCGGCCGTAATGTAGTGCCACTTGAGACCATAACTGGGTAGATAAAGAGTTTCGGGTAAAGTAGATACCTTTAAGCCGTTTGGCATCTCCCAGCTCAACACCACTACACCTGCTCTTACAATCTTAGCTGTTATCTACCTGAGCGTATACTTTGACGACTTGTCGGGAGTTCTGAACAGAAAGCTTTCCATCTTCGTGACCTTTTTCTCCTGCTGGTATGCTCAAACATTTCTCTCATCCATGACATCGGTGTACCCTTTACCTGGGAGCGAATGAAAGCTCTGCCACAACTTGAAGAGGTTCGCCCGACAGATATCTTACGTTCTATTCCAAGATAGCTCCAGTCCTTCTCTGGATCTGCATATGATTCGGTCATTTGTTCATGTAGCCCATGCTATTGATCAACGCCTTTTGAGATATTTAGAAAATCGGAGTAATCATAGGGCAACTCAAGACTCGAACTACCGAGAAGAATACGCCGAAATCCCGACAAACGAAAGCGGACCCATACCGCCTCGACAGGGTAGAGTCTCAAGTCCATTTGTTCCGACTTTGCTGTTTTCGTAAGCACTTTGGGTGACACGCTTCCGAAGGGCTTTAACGGTTGAGCATCGACCTCTCCCTTGTTGATCAGACAAACATGCGTGCAGCGAATTCATATGCAGAGACTTGATCGATAGCTAGAAATGTACGCGACCAGTCTTGTAGCGCCTCGATGTCGAGCCCACAACCAAGTTTCATTGTTCCGAGGAGGACTCGAGCCCTGACTTACCTTACCTTAGTACACGTACTTGCAAGGGGCCTGAGGTGTCATGTCGTCATTCCCTTGGCCGGCTATCAAGAACGTCCCTGTTGAACGGCTATTCTGGTGTCTAGACTTTGAAAGTCAAGGTAGGTATGGCAGGGATTCTCACTCAGCGATTTACGCATAATGGAAATTAAATTCGCAAAACAAACAGCTGTTGGGACTTTGGGCCACTCACGCCACTACGCTTGCTTTTCGTATTACCGGTACCTGCAGCAAGGAATTAGCATACGAAGCCCCAGCAAATAGGATCGAGGAGACACAAAGTCCCATTGGAGGGGGGGGAAACATGAGCAATGCAAGGATTGAGATCCCGGCGCGGACCACCGCGCCGTATTCGCCCGTTCGAGACCGGCGGACTACCGTCAAAGGGGCGGTGCAGTTTTTACGACTGGAGGATTATTTTTGGCGCGTCTTAGTGTGTTGAGATACGTTTTCATCCACGGAACAAGAAAGAAAAAAGGCTTTCCCTCATGGAACGATGGATGGATCTGCGACAAGAAAAAGTCTGACCGGAACGGCTGCAACGGCATCTCAAAATGGGCCATCTATGAGACATACCAAACAGCCACAGGATCGCGGAGCCGTTGGGATCGGGCGTTTGTAGGATGGCCTTAATGACCGCTAGGGCGGCTTCCGAGATGAAGTGGCGCAAGATTCCCGTCTCAGACCCCGCTTAGCTCCGTCCAGGGGCGTTGTTTAGACCCGGGGTTAAGGCAGCCGTTGTTGGGAACTTGGAATCGTCTGGACATACAAAAGTCTGTGAGGGAAAGATCTTTCGACGACGAGGGGTGTTCTGATTTCCTTCTCTCTCTCTTCATTCTGATAACGGTCATCGACTTCGAAGCCTTCACTCGCCCTCGGGTCATTACATTCGTTCATAATCAACACAATCGTTTGCACTGCTCTGACACCGCTACCGGAGCTATTACACCGTCTTAATACCCGACAACATCAAAACAAATAATACCAAATCAAAACCCACAGCAAAATGTCTCTCAGATACATCACCTCCCTCGCCATCATGGCCACCGCTGTCCTGGCAAAGACCGACCTCGCCGGCTGCGTCTCCTCAGACTCCGTCGTCACACCCACCCAGGGCGGCACACCCTACGCAACCCGCGTCTGGTACGTCCCCGGCACCGGCGAGATCTGCGCCGCCCTCGACTGCGGCGGCGGCCGCGCCCCTCCCAAGACCACCGTCCCCGGCTGCCCTTCCTACGAGGGCACCGAGACCTACTCGCCCTCCTTCCTGCCCCTGCAGACCAGCGCCGCGCCCGTGGTCTCGAC